AGACAAGTCCAAGTCTCTATTCCTTTCTACTAGTTTTGTTCCTTGAGTGAAATAATTTCTGTTCCTCTTTTATACATATAATTGATCTTTCCATACAGCTGTGGCCTTTCAAGTTAACAAGAGTGAAAGGAGCTTAGACAGTTATGCTTTAGAGTATATGCTTGATCTGAGCCTAATTCCCCTCCTTTTAATAAGAACATTAAATAAGACATTTAAAAGTCTATCAAGTTTAAAGTCACAACTGATTTCTTCTACATCTTGCTCATCATGGCATTTGGCCTTCCAGGTCACTGAAAATAAATTCTGTTTGAACTTTACATTACAATTCATAATTAACCTATCATCTTATATAGCTACAGTACTCAATGAAGTGTATTATATTCATATTCTCACAGTCGCTGCAGACAGTGGTAATCCTTTGAAGGAAATAAATTCTTTATTAATTGAAAGAGAGATCCCATCACTTAAATGGAAGTGAATAACACCTGAGGTTCTGAGGCAGGGGTGGGCCAAGCCTGTAGACCACATGCGGTTCCCAGGGACACTTTCATGGACACCCCTCACTGAGAAAATATAGAAATGATCCAACCAGGATGACCCCAAATATGGTGAGAATGCTCCTAGGACCCCCAAAGCACCACAAAAAAAGGGATTTCTTTTGCAGGAACAGGTGTGGTATAGGATGTGGCTTTCAAGGTCTCCTGTGGGGTGAATGTGGCATTCTGCTAAAAATCCTGCCAAAGGAATATAATCAGTTCAATTTATTAGCTGTTCCATTTAAGTTTCCTGGGTATCTCACATTTTATTTGGCTGTGATATGACCCAAAATAATTATTAAGATATGGTTTCCGCAAGTACTTAAATAGAGGTATCCCCCCCCCCTTCATATTTTTCATTTCTGAACTAACATAAACACATCTGGAAGCTTTTCAAACATAAAACCTAAAAAGTGATATCTAAGTGTGTTGGCCTTAGATTACATATCACTTAAGCTAGTGTTTTGTTTTTTGTTTTTTCACTTCAGATAAATGATTGTATTTTCTTTAATCCAACTAAATTTGCTTAAGAGTCAGTACATTTCTGAAAGTGGTTCATGATTTCACTTACTCTTTAAAAAACAAAAAATCTCCACATTTGCAATTTACAAGTTTTGTACTAACCTTATTCAGAAACTCGTTAAAATAGAGAATCTTGATTTAAGTGTATATAATTCCAGTGACCTTCACAATGACTACAACACTATATCTAAATACCCAAGCATACTGGTTAGTTCACCTTTAGTGTAGCCACCTCTCCACAAAAGTAAATATTGACATTGAAATACAACACCTTCTGAGCTCTGTGGGTGCAGCATTATTCCGAATGAAGCAGAGAGTGTTTGAGGACTGGGACATCCATAGACCAAGGTGCTTGTTTATAAAGCTATTGTCCTCCCAACCCTGTTATATGCCTGTGAATCGTGGACTATCTACAGACGTCACATCTAACTCCTGGAATGATTCCATCAGTGTTACCTCCAAAATATCCTGCAGAATAGGGACAGAATAGGGATTCTGTTAGTGTACCGTCCACCTCGCTGCACTACAGTCTCCCTACCTGAGCTAGCGGGGGTAGTCTCGAGCCTGGCGTTGGAGTCTCAACGGCTTCTCGTGCTGGGAGACTTCAATATCCACGCTGAGGCGACCCTCACAGGAGCAGCTCAGGACTTCATGTCTGCCATGGCAACCATGGGGCTGTCCCAACAAATATCTGGCCCCACCCACTGTGCTGGACATACATTGGACTTGGTTTTCTGCCAGGGATGGGAGCAGGGTGGCGGTGTGGAGGAGTTGTCCATCTCTCCGTTGCCATGGACTGACCACTTCCTGATCAGATTTAGGCTCACTGCGCCCCCTAACCTCTGCAAAGGTGGAGGACCCATTAAGTTGGTCCGCCCCAGGAGGCTTATGGATCCGAATGGATTCCTGATGGCTCTTGGGGAGTTTCCCGCCACCTCGGTAGGTGACCCTGTCGATGCCTTGGTCGCTCTCTGGAATGGAGAGATGGCCAGGGCAATTGACACGATCGCTCCGGAACGTCCCCTCTCAAGTAGCCGAGCTAAACCAGCTCCTTGGTTTACTGAGGAGCTGGCAGTGATGAAGCGAAGGAAGAGGGAACTAGAGAGCGTGTGGCGTTCGGATCCGAGCAAGTCAAATCGAACATGGTTTGTGTCCTTTCTAAGGGCATATGCCGCGGCAATAAAAGCCGCAAAGAAAACTTTCTTTGCGGCTACTATTGCGTCTGCAAGGAACCGTCCGGCGGAGTTGTTCCGGATTGTCAGAGGTCTTTTAACTCCCGCCACCTCAGGCGGAGCCCTGACAATTCGGCCACGCGCTGCGAAGCATTTGCTCGGTTCTTTGCAGACAAAGTCGCTTTGATCCGTTCTGGTCTGGACACCATGTTAAATGCAGTCTCTGAGGATGTGACACGAGCACCTGCTTGTCCTATTTTGATGGATTCTTTTCAATTTGTGAAGCCCGAGGATGTGGACAAGATACTTGGAGGAATGAGGCCCACTACGTCCATCCTAGACCCCTGCCCATCCTGGCTTCTGAAGGAGGCCAGAGGGGGATTGGCTGAGTGGGTAACGGTGGTGGTTAACGCCTCCCTTCGGGAAGGCGAAATTCCAGCGAGCTTAAAACAAGCTATTATAAAACCGCTGTTGAAAAAACCATCACTGGACCCCACTAAATTTGACAACTTTCGGCCTGTTTCCAATCTCCCCTTTTTGGGCAAAGTCATGGAAAGCGTGGTGGCCTCACAACTCCAGGTATTCTTGAGAGACACGGATTATCTGGATCCGGCACAGTCTGGTTTCAGACCGGGACATGGACCGAGACAGTCTTGGTTGCTTTAGTTGATGATCTACGCTAGGAGCTAGACAGGGGAGTGTGTCCCTGTTGGTGCTCCTGGACCTCTCAGCGGCCTTCGATACCGTCGACCACGGTATCCTTCTGGGGCGTCTTGCGGAAATGGGCCTCGGGGGCACTGTTCTGCAGTGGCTCCGGTCATTTCTGGAGGGCCGCACCCAGAAGGTGTTATTGGGGGACACCTGTTCAACGCCACAGCCTTTGACTTGTGGGGTTCCACAGGGCTCTATACTGTCCCCCATGCTGTTTAATATCTACATGAAGCCGCTGGGTGAGATCATCCGGAGTTTCGGGGTGCGGTGTCATCTGTACGCAGATGATGGCCAACTCTGTCACTCCTTCCCACATTTAATATCTACATGAAGCCGCTGGGTGAGATCATCCAGAGTTTCGGGGTGCGGTGTCATCTGTACGCAGATGATGTCCAACTCTGTCACTCCTTTCCACCTGCTACTAAGGAGGCTGTCGAGGTCCTGAACCGGTGCCGGGCCGCTGTAATGGTCTGGATGAGGGCGAACAAACTGAAATTAAATCCAGACAAGACAGAGGTACTCCTGGTCAGTCGCAAGGCCGAACGGGGTATAGGGTTACAGCCTGTGCTGGACGGGGTCGCACTCCCCTTGAAGGCGCAGGTTCGCAGCTTGGGTGTGATCCTGGATTCATCGTTGAGCCTGGATCCCCAGGTTTCAGCGGTGACCAGGGGAGCATTTGCACAGCTCAGGCTCGTGCGCCAGCTGCGCCCGTACCTCGGGAAGTCTGACTTGGCCACGGTAGTACACGCTCTGGTCACATCCCGCCTTGACTACTGCAACGCTCTCTACGTGGGGCTGCCCTTGAAGATGGCCCGGAAGCTTCAGCTAGTCCAGCGCGCGGCAGCCATGTTACTAACAGGAGCGGGACGCAGGGAGCACACAACGCCCTTGTTGTCCCAGCTCCACTGGCTGCCGATCTGCTACCGGGCCCAATTCAAGGTGCTGGTGTTGGCCTACAAAGCCCTAAACGGTTCCGGCCCAAAATACCTGTCTGACCGCATCTCGGCCTACGAGCCCACGAGGACTTTGAGATCGTCTGGGGAGGCCCTTCTCTCGATCCCGCCTGCCTCACAGGCACGCCTGGCGGGGACGAGGGATAGGGCCTTCTCGGTGGTGGCCCCCCGGCTGTGGAACACCCTCCCTGTAGACATCAGACAGGCGCCCTCCCTTATGACATTCCGCAAGAGCCTAAAGACGTGGTTGTTTGAGAAGGCGTTTGACTAAGTGCTACAACAATTGGCAATGATGATTGGAACGGAATATGGATAACGAGATTGGATTGTGATTCTATGATGAGACGTCGCGAATGATTTAGTGTAATTGTATTATTGATAGTGATGTTGTTATTGTTGTTTGTGATATTGCCTTTATTGTAAATTGTTTTTATATGTTGTACACCGCCGTGAGTCGCCCTAGGGCTGAGAACGGCGGTCTACAAATGCAGTAAATAAATAAATAAATAAATAAATAAATCTCTTGGGAAAACAGGTGGAAAAATGTCAGCATGCTGGAAGAAGCAAAGACCACCAGCACTGTTGCAATGCTCCTACACCATCAACTCCACTGGACCGGCCACGTTATTCAAATGCTCGATCACCATCTCCCAAAGCAGTTACTATACTCCCAACTCAATAACAGAAAATGGAATGCTGGGGGACAGGAAAAGAGATTTAAAGATGGGCTTAAAGCTAACCTTAAAAACTGTGAGATAGACACTGAGAACTGGGAAGCTCTGGCCCTTGAGCACTCTAGCTGGAAGTCAGCTGTGACACAGTGCTGCAGAATTTGAAGAGGCATGAATGGAGGCCAAAAGGGAGAAACGTGCCAAGAGGAAGCTGGGTCAAGCCAAACCTGACTAGGACTGCCTTCCACCTGGAAACTGATGCCCTCAATGTAGAAGAACATGCGGGTGAAGAACAGGGCTCCATAGTCACCTATGTACCCACTGCCAAGACACTGCACTTGTAAGGTCATCATATTTGGACAATGAGAGATTGCCTAAGTTAAGTGATTAATAGCCCCTGTTTAAAAAACTGGAAAGAAAGAAAAAAGACCAACATTCAAAATATAATTTTTGTATTTTGGCACAGAAGATGTAATGCACCTTACAATAGAGACATAACCAAAGCAGAACTGCTATAAATTATAAAGTCAATACAAAAAAGTGGGTAAGTGGGAAGAGAACAGTTAATTGTAATGAGGAAAAATCAATTTATTATCATTTCAAAACACATATCTCATATTTTAGTGAGGCTTTTTGGTCATATTCCAAGGACCACAATTTACTTGACATCACATAGGAGGGCCACACCTCTCAAGATCCAGTGATCTGGTGATACAGTTGTCCTCAGGTAGATTGCTGTAATGTAGGTCAAATCTGTTCTTCTTGGCTTCTTGTAAATAGGACAAACATAGAGTTTAGGGTCTCTGGGACTGGTTGTATTAATTGCAAATATATGCACAACAGGGAGCAACGTGAAAAGAATCTTCGCTGTCGACTCGGTGAGCTTATTATTACGTCTATCCCATCCAGCTCCATCCAAGTATAATCCATAAATATATACCCCTTCCTGTGTGGAAAGAATGGATGTTTATTATGCATAGAAAAGTGTCTACTTTGAAATTACAACATGGCTTGTTTGACTTAGACAAGTCAATATAAGTTAGAGTATAATCAGCAAAGCTTGAAACAATAAAGAAATTTTGTCTATAAAATTTCTGAAACAGCATAAGTTGTAATGAAAAATATTCATATATTGAATTCATCAAAAAGTACAATAATTAATTTTCAAGAGACCTCTACCTTGAGAAACAGAATGAGACAGAAAAAGAGAAAGAGAGAGAGATCTAGAGATGATAGAATAAGTACATAGTAGCTGAATAATGGGTCAACCCAAAACCTTCTTTAGCCCACAGTTAGGTTTGCATGGTTCCCAACCATTGCCTAACTAAGAGAACTACAGAAGTAAGTGATATATCAAGAAAAATACATTAATGTAGTTTTAAGATGCTGTTCTCTGGAAGAGCATCTTATAGGACATAGAATAATGTGAATTATATGTGCAATAGAAGAACCCCATTGAGTCTTCTTCGTTGCAGCAACAAAACCTCCTTTATCATCCCTTCTCTACCTTTGATGCAGGTGATGGGGGTGGATTTTGAATGTGTATACATGGGGATATTCGGATATTTATTCTACTATTAAAATTATATGTTTTAGTCCGTTCTTCATTATTCATTGCATTAGCATCTTTAAAGTATCCAGAATGAATGAATGAAATCTTTAAGTAGCACTACCATTAATGCCATAAGTGATTAGCTACAAAAATATTTCCAAGCTTCTTGAAGATGGTAGTTACTATTTTAGTTACAACTTTGATAATTTTTTCCTGTTTCTCAAATGTAATTATAATTGTTACTTTCGAAAATACACTTCTGAATGCTATATGCATCAGCAACCTAACTCTCCCAACTGATTAGGAGACTGAACAGGAGTGCCTCTGGTGTTACTATAAGAAGGCATGAGGCAGTGTTTAGTGAGGACATACAACCTGTAACTAAAATGTAACTAAATCTGTAGAATTTTATATATTTAAATGGATTGAAATAATCTCTTAGGAATTTACATCTGTATCATATTTTATTTATTTATTTACTATATTTATATTCCACCTTTCTCACCCCAGAAGGGAATCAAGGTGGCCTTACAACAGGCAGCAATTTGATGCCATACATGCATGTATCAAATAAACAATTACAATTAAAACCAAACCCTTAAAACATGAATGATTAAAACATCAATTAAAATCACACCATCCAAAACAAAATCCAAAGCCATTCCATTTGTCAGTCACATTGATTAGTGGTCAGTTATTGCACTGCTCCAATTACTTGTCAAAAGCTTGGTCCCAAAGCCACATCTTAAGTTTTTTTTTCCTGAAGGTCCTGATTTCATTGGGGAGGGAGTACCATAGCCGAAGGGTCACCACTGAGAAGACTCTGTCTCTCATCTCCACCAGTCGCACCTGCGAAAGTGGTGGGACTGAGAGCAGGGCCTCTCCAGATGATCTTAACCTCTGAGATGGTTCATAAGAGGAAATACATTCAGACAGGTAAGCTGGGCCAGAACTGTTTACTATTGAAATAAATTAATTTTAATAACTAGTTATTTGTAGTTAGCTAATTCTAAGATCTGAGTTTGTTATACATACAATGGGAGGAGCTGTGATTTCTTCTTTAACTTGTTTCAATATTTCATTATGTATAGTAACGGTATCCAGTGCCCATCCTTTGTGTGCGCGAGTCACTTCTTGCCTCATAGCAGTTAAAAACCCTGTGAAATGATTGAACAAAGCAATTTTAATACAACTTTTCCTATTATCCATCTTCAAACAGCATCCATGAAATAAAAGGCATGTCAAAATTCTCAGCAGAAAATTATTAAGATAAAATGAGAAAAAGAAAGTAACACAAAACTATAAAGTTCAGCAATGGTTGTTGAATGATTATTTAATCATAGAAGCATTGACCACCTAAGGAAAAATTGGAAATTATAATGAGATTAAATCTATGAAAAGCCACAGTACCATAGAAACTATATATTGATTAGACTATCATATGAATACTTTTAATTTCTTTGATATTTAGAGAACAACAGCCTAAACTTGTAGATGGCAAACTTTTCTTTACAGGAGTATACATCACTAAAAAGCTTTAAGAATAAGATGGTATCCATCAATTCACTATAATAAACAGAAGTGCTACTTCTATTGAATCAAACTTGCAAAACAACTCAAAGTCCATCTAGTCCTACTCTATACAGGAATTAAAATGCTGAAATGATGAGTTGTTACATTTGGCTTGCATTTCCCTGAGCTATACTCTGTCATACATTTTAGCACTCCTTAATATATATGTATAAAAGCTTTTTTGGGGAGGGGAAGGAAGGTTGCCTAGAAGGCATAGAAAATGTGTGATTTCATATTCAGTTTCCAAGAAAAATTGCTTTTATTATTTTATAAAATGCACACATTTCCATTTACTAGTAACAATATAACGTTGCATGCAAATGCTCATGTAAAAAAGCTAAACTGTTATCTGAAGGTAGACCAAATGCCAATAGGCAATGCATTCATCCTGATTTCCATCCATTTTGGAGAAGGGCAAATTGCAGCTTTCCAGATGTTGGTCTGAAGATCCCACCAGGCAGAGACAATAGTGAGGAATGTTGAGAGCAGCAGGCCAACAACATCTGGAGAACCCACCCAAATCTGGAAAAAAAACCCACTTCCCATTATTTGCCAGGTTGAACGATATATTCTATTGATTTTTTAAAAAAGAAACAATGGAAATTGTGTCATGGAAATATTTGCAATACAGAGAGAATTATATCTAGGTTTATTTTATTTATCGTATCAGAAGTGAACTGAGGGTACAGTTCTAATGTATTTAAAAACACAAACAAAATTTAAAAACTTGGCATTATACTAAATGTCCTTTGGCCAGTAGCTGGCCTCTTGGAGTGCCTCTGGTGTTACTATAAGAAGGTCCTCCACTGTGCATGTGACAGGGCTCAGGCTGCATTGTAATAGGTAGTCTGTGGTTTCCTCTTCACTCACATGTTGTGGACTCCACTTTGTGGCCCCATTTCTTAAGGTTGGCTTAAGTCGCCTAGTCTTCTCTGAGCCCAGCGAGGAGTCTCTCATCTGGTATCAGCCATGGGTTGAGGTTCCAGGTTTAGCCTGTCACTTTTGGACTCTTGCTTGCTGAGGTGTTCCTGTGACTTGCAGCATGTATATCCAGATACAATGTTTGGATGGACTGACAGACAGAATGACAGGTCCTAAGGGCCATCACACTAATCTGGATAATGGTTGATTGCCTTCAAGTCATTTCTGTTTCCCCGTGATCCTCAGGTGAGCCCCTCACTCAGTTTTCCTGGCTAGTTTTGCTCAGAGAGGTTTTTTCTCAGGCTGAAGTAGTGTGATTTGCCTAAGGTTACCCTGTGGTTTTCCATATCTGAGTCGTGGTTGGACCCTGATCTCTAGAGCTATAGCCCAGTGCTCAAACTGCCACACCACACTGGCCCTCTAATCTGGATAACAGACATTAAAAATAAACTACCTCTTTTAATTTAATTAAAGCCATGTGGGATTGCTTCAAAGATCATCTAGTCCAAGCTAATATAGGAATCCACTAGCAAAGTATCCCGCAAAGGGGTTATCTAACTTCTGTTTAAAAATCTCAGATAAAAGAGAGACCAGCATATTCTAAGATAGTTTATGCATTGTCAAACAACTTTTACTGCCAGGTAAGATTTGTCTACACAATTTCTTCCCCAGGAACGGTGAACGAGTACCATAATTTACATACATTGTGTCATAAATATGTATTTTTGTTATAGAATTGAAAAAGATCACCTGTGTATATTTGATTCATGGGCCCTACATTACTTTAAAGCAACTAGATCTTGAATTATCTTGGAAGTTAAGCAGGATCAGTCCAGGTTAGTCCTTAGATGGGAGACCATTAACAAATGAGATGCTGTAGGTTATATTTCAGAGGAAGTAACTGGCAAACAGGTCTGGGCATTGCTTGCCTAAGAAAACCATATGAAATTCATGGAGTTGTCCGAACTTGATAGGTGACTTAAAGGCACATACAATTTGACCTTAGCCAACCTCTATAAAAGGTTAACTATAATATCATCATTCAGATTGTAGTTATAAAACAATTTATAGTTACATTGACCTTTCTAGTACATACCCTGAGGATTAAAGAATCCAGTCATCCAAAATACATTTGGCCTGCCTTCAAATATCCAGGTGCGAAACTGATTATTTCTTTCAAGAAGTTCAGTAAACCAGAATCCCAGGGTGGATGAGTCCCAAGACACACGTTTCCAAAGTTGAGGAATCCGAGCATCATACATGTTATCAAGTGCATCTCTTAAATTCTGAACAAATAAAAAAACAAAATATGGACTTGAGTTGGGGGTAAGTTAGTTTCAAAATAAATAGTTCCACGTAATAATGTGTTGGGTTACCTCACTCATAATAATAGTTCCGTCTATGGCTAGCTTGAGGTCAATGAGACTAGTTCGGACAATTTTAATAACTCTTTGCATTCGGTCAATTTCTTGGCGAAGAAAGATGTTCATAGAATTAAGATGCCCCATTTTAATCAAGCGAGCTTTCACCTGAAAATTAAATGCAAGAGAATCAGTGGGAGTGAGTGAAGCAATAAGTCATATAGAATAGCACTGACAAAACAATTCTATTTTGTACTCAGCCTTAGAAGTGCCAAGATGTTTATTTTTTGCAAAGTCCTCTCCCTTCCTGCTAAGAGTAAGACAAGGTACTTTATAGGCTTGACAGCAGTGATGAGTCCTCTACCACTGATTATGGTTTGGGAACAGCATCCAAGTGGTCATCCCCGTGTACTAGCTGGAAGTTATTAAAATACACTGACTTCAGGTTTGTTCCTGGAAAAAATAATAAAGTGCTGGTTCTGATGTATACAGCCCTGAACAGCATAAAACCTGAGTACTTAAAAACGTTCTTCGCTCAGAGAAACCTGGGAGGGCACTGAAATCTTCTAGAGAAGTGCTTCTCTGCATCCTCCATCTCATAGGTGTTTTGTAAGAACTGCAGAAATTGCTTTCTTACGTGCTATATGCAAAGTGGGCTTATTTATCATAAATATGCTTGTTTATCATGATTGCCTTCCACTGGCAGGCAAATCCATTTTATTCATACAGGTATTTGTCCTATAGAGCTCATCTGTTTTCTCTGGAGCTCTATGCTTTAAGGTGTGTTTATTTCTAAATGATATTTGCACTGGCTGCTCGCTTGATATGCCCACATTTACAGACGTTTTTAGACAATTTTATACTGTTTGCCATGTTACTTAGTAATTGCAGTTTTTACTATTGCTTTCTGCCTTTCACATATTTTATGGAAAAGTGAGATAAAATTTTAATTAATAAACAAATAAAATGACCCATGTGAAGCAGGTTTGTGTGTGTCACTTGCATATAAGTTTAAGATTGATGCCCCTGAGAAAATGTTTGTACACACAGGTGACTTTTAGTGAATACAACCATCAGTCCATCTAGCTGAATATTTTTAAATTGACTGTCAATGACTCTGCAGCATTCCATGCAAAACAGTTTACTTCTTCTAATATTTATTCCCTGCTACCTTCTTCATGTAAAACATGTGCCCCACTATGGAGTGCTACCCCACATTGAATCATCACTACAGAGAAATGCAATGGTGCATATGCAGGTCACAATTGTATGATCTGTCTAGATCAGGCATGAGCAAACTTTTTTGTCTTGGTGCTACATTCCAGGCCTGGCCAAAAAGGGAAGGCTAGGAGGGAGGGGGGCCATTCACAGACTGAATGGGGTAGTCTTGCAAGGGGTAGGGCCCAGGAGAGGTTGGGGCCAGGAGGGGGCAGGCCATCCTCCCAGTATAGGAACAGGGCTGCTTGCCTCATCCTTATGCCGGGAGGAAGATGAGACATGTGGCAACTACCCCGATCCTCCTCTCCTGATCCTTGGGCTGTCCTCTTGGCATTATGCCGCCATATGCTCCAGAGATTTGGCCAAATCTAGTTAGTGGAAGAGAATGCAGTTATTCTGTTCTTATAATTCACTTAAGCTCTGTAAGAAGTTCCTTGTGGACAATAAATGTAACTATTAAATTCTGAGAAATAAATACTGCAGGTTATGTGAACTAGGGTAGAAATGTATGTGCTTCACTTAATAAATTCTTTATGGATTTTTTTTTAGAAAGGAGGAATTGCAACTTTAATAACTACTATTATTTTATATCACTTCTAGACTAGATTAATTTTTCAACTTGCTTTACATTGCCCATGGCAAGCAACACAGATGTATCAATGTTTGCAGCATCTTGACTATAAAAAAGAGAGAATTATTCACCAATACACAGAGCTGTCCAAAGTTATTATAATCTTGGGATTTCCATAACCTTTGATGTGATACATGGATTCAAGGGAGCCATTCTCTTTGGTAATAGATTAGGTAATAATTTTCCTTAAGGTACGACCTTTAGATACACATCCAACCAAATTCCTTTTCTAATATCATTAAGAAACTTTCTTTATCCCTTCATGCAGGTCTGCAGTTTCCCTATAGCAGAATATTTAGCCGTAAACTGAAACAGAGGACAAAATTAACTGCTATAATCTCAGCCCCCCAAAATTAGAGTTGCATTTGCCTTGTTTTGGGTGACTGATGGAACTGATAAGGAAACACAGCTTTATAGAAATCCCTGCTTCCCTGGGATCATCTGTGCAAAAAGTTTTCCAAAATTTAATTATGTCAAGTTGCATATCCCTAAGTGGTTCATATTCATGATTTCTACATATTCACCGTCTTAAGGGATATGTGGCAACCTTTGCTTACTGGACAGTGGCTGCTCTGATTGACACAGGTTTGTTCCCCTTTTGAGCAGAAAGCAACTGGTTCATGTTCCTAGCCACCCACCCCTTATGTGATTAATCTACAGTGCAAGGAGGGATTGTGACAGGGATTCTGTTTATGACTATTGCAGAGAAAATTGCTCACAGGAGGTGGTAGAAATGTTTCTCAGCTGCATTCTATCTATCACAATGCCTGCTCACTGATAAGTGGGGATTGACAGACTCAAGCCAACAGACATTATGTAGTTACATACAGTAGTTACATAGGTAAGTAGATGATAAATAATTCCAGCTATTCTTTGTAATAAAATGGACTTAGTTCCACTGACTGGGAAAAGAAGCATCTATGAACAAGGAGCCATGAATTCGAAAAAACAATAAACACAGTGGTTTAATGAAACATTTCTTCTCTTAATGTGTTTGACTTTACATATCAGGCATGAAGATTCAGGCCAACCATAAGAATGTTGTCCCATATCTAATATTCTACTTTTTTAAAGAGGAAAAAACACTGAAAGGCATAAAGCCATTGCTGAAACCCAGCACAAAAATCCTTGTGAGTTAGCACACAACACCTGGCAACTATGGGAGTAGCCCCCAGTTCTGCTGAAGATATTGTGAGGCACAGGAATGTTTAGTCCCCACATACTTACATTCAATATCTTTTCACAAGGTTGATTGAAAGCATTACAAAAAAAAAAACCCCAAACAAACCCCAACTTAAATAAGGTTATAATGGAAACACTAAAGAACCAAATTGAGACCGAGTTGTTGTTTGAGGCAGGAAAAACTATCATGGCAATCAATCCATAAAGTAATGCAGAATAAGCATTATCTAGTGCCAGGACTTTTGAGGTATGTACTGAAAACATTAATTTGAATTGGCCTGCATATTGATAAGGAAAATGCAAAAGACCCTACTCCTGTAATATATACCAAGTTTAGCAGATGGAATTGACCGCAATAGTTTACATGGATATCCCATGTTCCTGATCTCAAATGGCCTGGATACACAGGATGGCACCTACCATCCCCAGATATCCATCCTGCTACTATGACCCTCGCCATCGAAATTGCTGGTGGTCCTCCCTCAGCAACAGACATGACATCAGCTGAGGCACTGAAATGATGGTTGCTTCAGCATTTTGGCTGATGTCATGCTTGTCTCCAAAGGAGGAACTCCAGCCATACTGAGGCTGGGGATTGCAGTAGCAGGCCAGATAGCCAGGGAAAGGTAAGAGTGACTCACCAGTGGTGCCAAACTGGTTTTGACACCACTGACCAGTTGGGATGCCCTCCCAATCTCCACAGTTAGTTGGGAGATGGTGAACGAAAACATGTCAGGACTGATCTGGAGTTCAACTGACCCAGAGGCCTGTCACAATGAGCTAGTCTTTTCATGCCAGTATTATTTGGTCAAAATCCCATATGCTATTTTAATCACTCACTTCATGGGGTATATAATCAGGAGGCAGCTTCTCAAGCATATCTTCAGCTAACCGATATACAATGGCTTCTCGAGTTTCTCCTACTCCACCTCCGCTTTCCTTTGGCTGAATATTGGTAATTGTATTCAAGACATCTGCAGCTGTATTGCTTTGATACCTAAGTGGAATTTAAAACAATGCTCGCTCAGAATTTATGAGAACAATAAATTGCCAGATAAAATGCACAAACACTGAAAAGTCAAGTTCAGACCATATTATATTGGGACTAGGAAGAGCTACATTACTCAGTGACAAGAATGTGAGCATTTTCTGTATACCAAAAGCTCCTCCAACCTGACACTGCAGAAGAAGAGAGGAAAATACCCACAGATGCCGTAGAAAATTTGTTTCATTTTTATTCAATAGGTCAATTCGGTGAAACATTTGTATTCCTTTCTTTTCTTAAGAGTATTTCCATTTTTTCAATGGGTTCTAGAGGCAACAGTTTATTTTTCTTCACTTTCTCTTGGGTTCTACACCAAGAGAAGCTTTTCCCTGCATGTATGAAAAAGGGCAAGAAGGGAGTGTGTAAGCTCAAAGCTGTGCTAAACCAGGGATAAACCATGGCAAGCTTAAGGTTGAAATATTATTTTCTCTGTTTCCAAATGTAAGCTTGTGGTTCTGCTTTAACTTCCATAAAACCAGGAATTGTGGAATGCAGTACTCCTAATTCATAGAGCAGTATAGAAAAAGAAAAGCTGGGAGCAGGGAAGAAACCTACATTGTTTTCTAACATTTCGAATTAGTAATCAAGATATTACTGTTTCTGCACAAACCCGACAGATTAAAGGATTCTTGAGAACAGTAACTGGCATACTGCAAATTGGCTACAAACTTTTTCAATGACTTCTATACCTTAGGGCTGCTTCTCACATTACTTTGGAAAGGCATAATATACATGAAAACAATTAAATGTCAGAAAGATGATACGTGGTGTAATAAAACACTAAATGTCAAAGCTACAATATAAGTATCTCTCCAGGAGTATATTTTCTGATATGAACATCCTCACTGAGAAAAAACTTTTGTCTTCCAAACACAATCTAAAAATTAGATTATATTCCTCTATCTGCATGTTATAAAAAGTGGGAGAAAATCGATGCATGTTAAACTTTCAAAAACAGTGGGCAAATGTCATATTTCAGAATCAAATGTTTAAACCCTATTAACAATGCAAATGAAACATCTCATACATTTTAAACAATTATGGAAATGCTAATTATGAGTATCTTGCAAATAACATGATTCATATAAAATAAAATATAATGATGGTTAATTATATTCTACAATAGATCATGCAGTACTTGAAGCATGAAATAACATACAACCTGCTCTGTGTTTATGGGTAAAAAAGGATTCAATACAAAGAGCATTTAAAACAGAATTATTTATCAGGTAAGACTGAGGTCTATCATTAAACCATCAGGAGCCACATGAGAATTAACAAAATAACAGCCATAGTTTGCAATCTGTTTAATCAAAGTTCAGCTTGAAAAAATGTCAGGCAAAGCACTTAGAATAATACGATGAGATCAGAAGTGCCACTGAAATTAACCTCCAGAATTTTGGAAAGCACTTCTTTGTTTATAGCCTAATCAAATTTTGAAAATTACACTTTAGAAGTTAAGAGTCTTGTGGAAGTCTTCAATTCTCTGTGCCTTGACACATTCAATTCAACTGCATTTGTCTAACCCAGATCAGCTTATAAAGCATTGCAGCATCAACCTTTTAACAGTTTAGAATAACCTTTTCAAATGCAAAGCTTAAAAAAATTATGTCTTGCAAATACAATTCCTTGTATCCTTTAGTCTTGTGAGTAACCATGCTTTCTGAGAGAGTCTAGAGATGATAAAAAAGTAATTTTTCTAAGGTATACTTAATTGTTTCAATATAACATAGTTATTCATATGTAAACCCAAAGGGAACTTCTGAAGTCCTGAAGAATTTTATCTCTGCTAGACTCACGAGATGTCTGCATTAGGATGAAGACCAAAGACTTCTGGGCTGTCCATAGCAGGGAGAGTTGAAATGTAATCATGATACTGTTCCAGAGTTTTACACACTGGGATTTTATATCCAGTGTAAAAGCAAAATGTGCTCTCAAACATTTTCTCGCTGAACCAGACCTGTACAAAGCAAAATGGAAGAAGCATGTCTATGTTTGAAATCACACAAATTAAAAATTCACAAACAACTTTATTAAGTGGTCTCTTGATTAAGAACTGTTCATTGATTGCCAATGAAGATGAAAGCAAGCAGCAATTCTATGGTGAAAAAAAAGCCAAAATATTCCATCAATGTATGTCAATTATCCAAATTCTATTATTCAAATGCACAAATCTTACTCATTATAAAGCAATTTTTAATTAGTGGAAAGGATAGGTTGGTCATTTAGATGACAATAACGCTTTAGTATATTTTGGGAGAAATTATTCCTAAACAGAAATAATTATTCTTTTGGATAAAATGGACATGAATTAGAAATGAAAAAGGGGGAAATCACCAAAGTGGAATTCAAACAATAACTAACACATGTAGGAAAAAAGGTCCAAAAGTCTAAAGTGCAAAATGAGTTTAAGCTTGCCAGAGAGAATAAAAATGGGTTCTTTGATTATGGAGACTAGGGACCTCATCACACTGAGGTCCTGAAGTGGGTGACAGAGGGGGAATTGCCATGCAGTGTGGGGGTGGGGGCCATTGCCCCATGCCCCACATCATCCATCACACGGGGAAAAGTGTTGCCACCCGGCTTCCCCCTGTTCTTCTCAGCAAGAACACGGGAAGCCTTCCATGTTCTCTGGGAAGCATTTTAACATGCTTTCCTTACAGAGACCTGTCAGAAGTAGCCTTATGTCGTGTGATGGGCTTCATTGGGCTCCAGCAAGGAAGTATCCTGGAAGTGTCCTAGAATGCTTCCTAAAGTTAGTGTGATGAGGTGGTAGGACTCAGAGCAATGGGCTCAAATTATAGGAAAGAAGATTCCACCTGAACATTAGGAAGAACTTCCTGACCATGAGAGTTGTTCAACAGTTTAACTCTCTGCCTTGAAGTGTGGTGTGGTCTTTTCTTGGAGGCTTTTAAACAGAGGCTGGATAGCCATCTGTTGGGGGTGCTTTGATTGTGTTTTTCCAGCACAGCAGGGGATTGGACTAGAGAGCCAGTGTGGTCTCTTCCAACTATGATTGTGTGATTCTATATTCTACCACACCATCAGTGCATTTTTAACAGAATTCTAAGTTTCAACTAAAAGGAGGATTTCTTTTATTTTGTTTTGTTTTGGAAGCATTGCTGGAACAATGCCAACTTGCTATTAAATTATAGACGGACACTGAAGTTAGCATATTAGTATTTTTATCAAGATTGTAGGAGAACCTGAATGCACAGTTCATATCACACACACAGGATGAACACAATCATGAATACCTTGAATGCCTAAAGGCACGTATAGAAATATTTTTACTCTACTTGAAAAAGTGCTCTTGTACTCGGACTAGTATGTCCAGATTCAGAAGGAGCCTATTCAGTATTCAGAACCTTAGAAATGTGAATAATAAGCCAAAAAAGTACAGCAATTTCAGGTGTCACAACTGTCTGCTGTATTAAAGAACCTAAATCTTAGTAGATTCTGATTTCATGGGGTATAATTCTGAAAACAACAATGGAAACAGTAACCTGCTCTGGTATACCTTGGGGAGGGATGGCAAGTGACTGTAATGCCCAGTTTGCCCAATCAATCTTGGCAGAAAGTAAATTAAATAAAAATAGATGAAAATTACTTTGAACATGGCAAGAAATAATGTTTAATGCATTTTATAGTTCTTCTGTCCTCTTACTGACATTACTAGACCTGAAAAACATTTGACATAAAGTCCTATTTCTAGCTGGTCAAAGAAAGAGATACAGGATAGCAGAACTGACAGGTTTCCCTGACTCACAGTGGAGGCCATCAGATTATGTGCTGTATTTTCCTCAGAGACAAGAAGGCAAGTACTAATTTTGGCAAGATCAGAGCTGACTTAAATGGCAGATTTGAGATTTTAAAAAATTACTCTGACAGTTGAATTTATTGCAAGGGGAGGGGTAAAAAGAATAAGGAATTACGCTATGTAACACAGTTTTTGTTCCTGGGTTATAAATGTCATTTCCTAATTGGTTCTATCATAAAAACATGAAAAAAGTTTATTACACTGCAAAAACTTTGTCTTTGTGGTCTTCACAAATAGTTAAAAATGGCATATTGGTTGTTTTTTTTTCCTGCAACTGGGTGATTTTCCTAAAGCTGACTGTTTTTTTACTGGATTTTCAACATTTTTCCCCACAGGTTCATTACAGATAAAGGGAAAATAAAGAGGAAAATTGTCAAAACCCAACAGCTACAATAGAAAAGGTTGAAGCAGTAAAGGTGGAGAAAGAGGAGGTGTCAGAGGAGGGTTTTGTTTATGTTTTGACACATTCTTTTATTCTTATTATAAGAATATGCTTATAATAATCATCAGTGATTCTGTGTCTGTACTGGGAAGAACAATGGTAACAATAAAAGAAAAGAGCAAAGGATTTCCAACAAAAGAACTCGTCGGTCACATAACTTCTGTCTCTTTCTGGCAATCACAAGGACATCTCCGTGTGGGCGGACTTCCCCTTTGCAATGCTCAAGGAATGTTTGGAATGTTTTCTTACCCTTGCAAAGCAATTAAGAAGGCGCTTATCATAATCATCAGTGACTCTGCCCCCATATTGTACTTCTCCAATCATGTATCGAACGGTGCTCCATGATATTCCCTAGAGGAAATTTGACAAAATAAATTTTTAAAATGATCCTTTCTTCACAAACTTAAAATACCCACACACTTAAAAAGTTAAGATCTGAGGGGCACATTACATTTGAAAAGCTTGTTTGAATAAACATATTTTTACTTATTTAAATCTTAACAATGGAAGGAAGAGGCCAAGTATTTAGTCATAATTAATCTTCTCATAGAAAGTTGCCTGTTAGGTTCAGCAGACATTTGTGGACTTCTACAATTCTTATTTCTTTCTTTCTTTCAGATATTTGTACCCCTTCCTTCTCAACCTCCCCCCCCCCGGGGGGGGGGGGGAGACCTCAGGGCGGCTTCCAGCCGGCAACGACTCGATGCCTCCAAGTACACATAATAAAATACATAATAAAAACCAATAATTACATACAGTTAAAACATTAAGTCAATTCACTTAAAATATGCTTAAATATAACAGCTTTGTGGCCTTATATAGCCAATTCTGTGGTTGGAGATTCCATCAAGCTTGTCCATAGTCCATTACCATAGCCATTGTCATCATTGTCAAGAGACCTCATCACACTAGAGCTTGGATCCACTTTCAATCCAGTTTCTGTCTCCTGCAGAATTCTGGGGCTTGTCGTTTAGGGAAGGGCCTTTGAACTGCTCAGCCAGGCAGGTCCTGGGCCTCACTAAACTACAAACCTGAGAATTCTGCAGGAGGCAGAAATCCAATTGAAAGTGGATCCATGCTCTGGTGTAATGAGGCCATAGATAGATATTATGGGGCCAGAGTAGTACAGCAAGTTAAACCACCAGCTGCAGAAAAAACTTGTCAATCGGAAGGTTGGCAGTTCAAAGCTGTGGGTCCGGATGAGCTCCTGCTGTTAGCCCTAGCTTCTGCCAACCTAGCAGTTCGAAAACAAAAATCTGAGGTAAAGGGAGAGGTAAAAGGTGCCCATGCAGACATGCCAGCAATTTGATCCAGAAGGCATCCATAAACAGCAGGCTCCTTGGCATCAAAAATGCAACAAGAACACATCCCCATGGCCAGAGTTGAGCACAGACTCCAGATGCCGGAGATAAAAAGGGGGAAGCCTTTACCTCTGTCTGTGTATACTGCCTGTGTACTATATATCTTTGTTATTAATGGTATAATGACATTGAATGTTTGCCTTATATGTATTCTGTAATCCTCTCTTGAGTCCTTTTGGGGATATAGAGTGGAATATAAATGAAGTATATTTCATTTACGTTTATTTATTTATATATCAAAATTGTAAATTGCGAAGATAACTGAGAATTGCCCTAGACTAGAAAATGAATAAAAACAATCCCATTTGTTGTCTTGGAGAAACTGACAATTAATTTTCTTTTATTCCAAATTATTTTTACTGTTTCTCATATGCATTTCTTAATTCCATGTGGTACTCAAATACAGTGGAGACTCTGATAATATAGCCCATTGTTCTTTATGCACTAACAAAAGGCATTATTCATCTCACTGTTGTTGTTTATTTATATCTGGCAATTAGTGTACATGATGTAATGAAGACATGAGGAATCAATGAAGAGCTTACTGAATACCACTTTTCAGGCTACTACTCAGATGTATATTTTTGGCTTGTAGCTCTACATATCATAACACGAAGACAACTTCTAAAAGGATGCCCAAGCATAGAAACCTGTTCTCCATTAGCTCCTCTTGAAAAATAAGAATCCTCCTGATTCCATAAACCTTCCACTTCAAAGAATGGGGACTATAAGTTTACAGTTAGGAAAAAATTGGCAACCAGCTAGGATTTCATCCAAGCCTGGGATGGATTTGTGGCACGACAGCTTTTGGAAGCCAGCTTTATAAGCATCAAACACCTTCTCCCTTAGCCTACTTTCACCAACATCTTTAAATACAATGAAAATATAATGCAAGCTCACTTTCTTGATGTCACATTCATCCAAATGATTCTGTACAAACTGGACACTAGCTGTGAAGTCCGCCGAGTTGAATTCATAAGGAATATTCCAGCCTAATGGACCAAATTTACGTCTTTCCTTAATTGAGAAAGAAAAAAAACCAGGATTATTTCTTCAGATGTCTTTATTTATTTTGCTTTCCAGATAATTATTGCATTTCCTTTAACAACTTCCAGTATTGATATTTCACGTTAATACTGCTTTCGGATCAAAATATGTAAATTTAAACATTGCAATGTAGATTTTAATGTTGAATTACAGTTCTGTAGATTTATCCGTTGGCAGGACTAGATTACTGATACAGTTTGAAGAACTTAATTATGAATGATGATATGAGTACACCCTAAAGCTCCAATACATTAGAAAATAGGAGTGAAAATCTCAAGGTACTATTTACTTGGAAAACGAAAAATTGCATAGTGTGATAATTGCAACTCACATTCAGATACTAGCTCAAAAGCTTTAAGGCAACTAAAAAACTGATATTTCTCTGTAAATGAGACACAAAGAAGCCATATGCCTGACTCTCCCATTATAGCATTATTGAGCTATGATTCTACTGTGACTTGAAAAATGGAGGAACAAAGACAAAGTAAATTATCTATAATTGTAGAAGGATTTTTTTTCATGTCAGGAGCGCTTTGAGAAACTTCAAGTCACTTCTGTTGTGAGAGAATTGGCAAGGACGTTGCCCAGGATTTTGATGTGTTGCCATCCTGTGGGAGGCTTCTTTCATGCTCCTGCATGGGGAACTGGGGCTGACAGAGGGAGCTCAACCCTCTCCCCCCAAATTCAAACCTCTGACCTGTTGGTTAGCAGTCCTGCCGGTACAACCCATTGCACCAGTGGGGGCTTCATAGAAGGAATAATACTAAGAGATTATTATTTTGACGTCTATTCATGACAAAAGAAGGATGAATGTTTGATACAGAATGAATTGAAGACTTTTATCTTAAGTTAGAAATATAAAGCTTATTTTCTCAATAAATAAATCAAAATATAATTGTAATTTGTTTTTTAATATACTGTACCAAAAAGTATTTTCCAGAGTCATGTTTTCATACATCCTTGCTTGAAGCTCATATTGGACATAAAACTCAAAGAATACTTTGTTTCTAATACCTGAACAGTTGAATGCAGAAAAGCCACTGTATAAAGAAGAGGTTTCCACATAGGCATATTGCTGACATCAAGTAAGTCTTGATTTATGCCAGAAAACGTTCTTTTCAAACCTGCTCGGACACCTTGTGGTGGTTCATTTGTGAATTTTATTGAAGTCTGATATATAAAAATAGGGGGGAAAAGATTTATTTAATATGAATTTAAAACAGGCACTGATAAAATTATGCCATTTGTACAAAGTTACAGTTCAATGCAGATACATAAATAAAATGTTGTGATATCTACAATTATACAAAGAAAAAAAGGTAAATTATTTGCAACGTTTACATGCTAGCATATGATTGAAAATCAGAATAGTATCACTACAATTGTATTGTAGTGTATTATTGTATTAACTTAATGTTTTAATTATTTATAATTACTGTTGTTGTGTATTTTACTGTAGGCATCAAATATGTGCCGGCTGGAAGCCACCCTGAGTCCTCCCTAGGGGGCTGAGAAGGGCAGGGTAAAAATACCCGAAATAAATAAATAAATCAAAATATAATTGTAATTTGTTTTTTAATATACTGTACCAAATAGCCTGGGATACTTTTATAATATACAATACCTGCATGTGGCAGGGAGAGGGGTAGAAAGGGAGATATTTACTATGATTGATTGTTCTGGAAAAGCTGAAGAACCAATCTACCAGCCTTAATTCTTGTCGGCTGATCAAGGCAAGAAACCCAAGTTCTAATCTGCTTCATCTGTTGCTCTCTTCTCTCCCTTCTTTAGTTTTATTAGATAGCCATGTAAGGTACTTGCATTAAAGCAAGGTTTTTAAACTTTTTCCACTTGTGACCACTTTTTGTCTGAGATTTTTTTGTGACCCCAGGTATATAAATATGGAAAATATATACTCCAGGTGTGTGCATGCACATGTGTGTCACTGCATGCTGCTGCTAACAGATTTGAGTAGATGTCTAAAAAAACTAGGTGGCATTCAGAAACGTATTACTGTTGCCAAATTTTCATGACCCAAACATTGAGTTAAGGGAACCCCCATTTGGGGCCGAGACTCACAGCTGAAGCAGAAAATTAAAGCCAACCATATTCAGGTTTAAAGTTGAATGTTTTAACATATTTTAGTGCTAATACTAAATATAATATAAGTATAATTCCATTTTAATGTTCAAAACATAACTATGTGTTAATTATATTCTACTTGTTTAATTTGTAAGTTGCCTTTTGTCCCAGTTTTCAAAAATCATTAGGTATAAAGGAGATGACAATGACGACGACGATGAAGGAAATGGTGAAGATGATATATTTAAGTTAACTAACCTGCAGCAAAGTAATAGGAAACTTATCATGTGGCTCAGTGGTTATCCAAACACGGAAGCTTTCATCAGGAATCTCTGCAGTAATTATCGTTTCCAAAAGTTCTTCCATGAACTCTAGACCTAAATGGCAATTCTGAAGCAACACCCAACCACCCTGTATCCAAAATAGTCTGTTAACAAAATGCATCGTTTTCAGTACTGTATATTGCAATTGACAAACAACTATGGCAGTATGTGAAGAGTTGATTGTTTTCTATGATAATAATGAGGATTAAAATATATGCTAGGAAAAAAATATGGATTTTAATTCAAATGAAACAATTAGATTCAAATAAGTGAATACAGTTGTGCTGCCATCTTGTGGTAGTTATAAAAAGGTTAGACAGGCCCTTGCAAGTTTTGGTCAAAGGATTTCTTGGAAGAAAAAAACAATTTCTAAAAAAAAAAAAGAGAGAGATAATTTGCTTTTAGGCCTGATTCAGCAAGTATGCCATTTTACTTTTGCTTCTTTAAAGTTACACTAACACACTAGTCCTGTAAACATTAATCTGAAATAAACTACACTGAGAAAATTCTTAACAAATTTTCAAATGTGAAAAAAAAAAACCCCAGAATCAGTGAGTTTATCTTTTAAATGCAAAACCTGAATGACATTGAGTGGGAAAACATACAATAGGGACACATGCAGTAGAAAATACATTATAAAAGCATTTTGTCAAGGCTGTATCTATATATATACCTGTGTCATTGACATCTGAACTAGTTTGCGTGCATGAACTTCCTGTCCTTGGCCCATGGATATAGCTCTGTTTTCTGCAATGAATAAAATGGTGATGAATGTATAAAATTATATAAATGTGCTTTCTCCATTGTAAACACACCTTTTAAAAGATGAGAGGAGTATTCTTTGGTAATTCAGTTTTCAGGTCAAGGATTGGATTTAGTCATTACTGAATAATCCTTTATGTTTTTCTCAGATCTTCAAGAACCCATTTTATATATTTCCCAGGATTTATCTTTTTATTATTATTTGTGACATCTTCCTTTTCCTACAAATCAGCCACATCCATATATTTGGATTGTCTTATGTTCTGGAGATGGGAGTGGCCATGCCCCAAAGCCCAAAGAGTACTGTGGCTCTTTACAGATTATAGTTGGTCTTCAACATTTTCGGGATTAGAGGAGAATGACTCACATAAATGTGGAAAATCTACATTATCTTTGGTACTCCCCTTGGAGCAGGAAAGGGCAATGAACAGAGAAAGGGTGCTGCCACGATCACTATGGTTCCCAGTGGACTTGCTCATCTTTCCTGCCTCTTTCTTCTAGGCCTGTGCAATTTAGTTCGTTATTTCGTTATTTCGTTATTAATTCGTTATTTTTGCATTTTTGAAGCGATATCAAAACACATTTTCAAACCCGGAAGGGTTTAAAAATATCGAACCGGCAGCCCCCATAAATTTAACGAGCTTCCGCTCGTTTCGTTAATGGGATGGAGGCTGCTGGAGTGCTGGTGCCATTCCCCTCTTTCTCGGCCTGGGCTGCTCTCCCCGCCCTCTTTCCCCTCTCCCCGTTTTCCAACACTCCTCCTCCTCCACATGCGGCTGCATAGTGAGTGAAGTACTGTATAATAGCGCTGCATCAGGGGCGGCTGAAGCAACTTACGTGCCAAATCCCTGGCTGTGGGCTGCTTGTCTTGCTTGCTCGCTTCTCCAAGCGGGCGAAAGGAGAGGGAGAGAGAAAAACAGTGTGCTGCTGCCTGTCTCTTTAAGGAAGGAGCACATGGAGCCCTCGGCTGCCGGTTTGGCGGAGGGAGGGAGGCAGGCGCGCGCTTGGTTGCTCTTTTTTTCTCCTCAGCTAAACCGGTAAACCCCGACTCAACCCCGCTATGTCTGTATAGTAGGCCTGTGCGGTTTCGTTTTCCATTTTAAAATATTTTTAATATTATTTTTTAATATTATTTTTTAATATTATTTTTTAATATTATTTTTAATATTATTCTTAAAAAATAAAAAAAATATTCTAAAAATTCGTTAATATTTACAAAATTTTGTAAATACCAAAACTTTTTTTGGGAAAGTTTTGTAATTATTTTAAATATCGAAACAAAAAAACACCCCAATTACAAAACGATTTTAGAAACAAATTTTTTCTTGATCAAACAGGCCTACTTTCTTCACCTGTCTCCTTCTCTACTTCTCTGTCCCACAACCAGCTAGCCATCATCATCTGTCTTTGGAAGGAGCAAGAAAAAAATAATAGTGTTTCCTTTCACTCTTTCCAATAGCAGCTGCTGATGGGATGCAAAAAAAAAGGCACAGAGAGTTAATGGGAAGGCAGAGACAGATGCAAGAGGAGGCAGCAGTCAGCAGAAGAGGGAGAAAAGAGGCTGCACTCCCCATGTGCCCATCATGGCTTCTGACACTCATTGCCCCATACTCCTTTCTCCCTCTACACCCAGAACCCTCATGTATACCCTGGTTATGGGAGAGACAGGGAGAGAAAGCAAAGACCCTGAGGACCAAGGTGAAAGTGGTGGTTAGCGGAGGAAGGAGAGAAAGAGGGTCCGTCCCCTACATTCCTATAACGACCTCCCCATTGATCAGCTAGACAAGTCCACAGAGCAGTTGGCTTTGGAGGTGGTCAGCAGGAGGTATAGTGATTCATGGTGTCCCTTGCAGCTGAACCCCAAGGCTATTTATGCACACAGCAGCCTCAGGTTTGGGGAGAGCAGAAGCTTTGGAGGAGCAGTAGGGAACTTGCAAATGCTCAAATCTGTGGCTATCAAACCCACAAACATGGGCAGCTAATTGCAATTTAATTGTAGCATAATTTTTGTTGACTACAACACACTTGATCGGAATATGTTCTCTTTTGTCTCTGTTAGCATTTTTTGTCTCTATTAGCACTCTGTGCATTCAGCTAGGCTGCTATATTGATTATATGGCTCTTTTAATTGATTCTATTTTTAATAGAAGTTGTTTCATCCAATTTATATACCTGGTTTATGTAATGTATTATTTTTTCATGTTGATGTATTTTATTTTATGTATTATGAATTTTATGTATGGTATCTTTATGTGCTATTTTGTAAGCCATCTGAGTCCCTATGGGAGATGGAAGCAGGGTATAAATAAAGTTGTTGTTGTTGTTGTTGTTGTTGTTGTTATTTGAAACACAACAAGATGAGTCCACAGCAAACAAGATCACTCTGCTGGCTGTTGTATTGGATCACACATCAGACACTTCCCAAGTGTCTTGGACTGTGTGATGTATCAGTGAATAATGCGTGCAGATCCCAGTACGGTGGCCTTTTGCAGCTGGCAGATGGTAATTTTGCCAGCGCCGATTGTGTTTAAGTGCAGACCAAGGTCTTAGGCACTGCACCCAGTGTGCCAATCACCACTGGGACCACCTTGACTGGCTTGTGCCAGAGTCTTTGCAGTTCAATCTTTAAATCCTCATATCGTGTCAGCTTTTCCAGTTGTTCGTCTTCAATCCTGCTGTCGCATGGGATTACAACATCAACTATCCATACTTTGTTTTTTAACACGATCGTGAGGTCAGGAGTATTGTGCTCCAAAACTCTACATCATCTACATCATCATCATCATCATCATCATCATCATTTACTGGATGTTAATGAAGACTTAGTGAAGTAATAAAGAAAGTAATTTCTGACTTTTAAAAAGCTTTTTTTCTTTGATGAGATGTGTCTTCACAGCCTTAGACTTTATGTTATTTTTGAAAGATATGTTTCAAGTTGGTTGACTTAAATTAATATTATAAAGCATTTTTTATAATGGTCTAAAAGACCATTTAAAGGTTGAACAATTAGTGCTTAACCTTAATCTGTAAACCTGAAATTCAAACCAGTGGCACTGGAAAGGTTAAATGCCAGAACCTCAAAAGTTATTTTACAGAATTCAAGCCTATATAATTCAAGAACATCAGTTAGTTCAAAAGAAAAAGAAAATTTAGCAAAACGATTTTCTACAATTAAGTTATTTCAAAGGATAAAATGTTATAATTATACCCAGTTTAAGTTTCCTGGCCAGTGCATCAATCTGGATAGTTGGGTCAGATCCCATCGATAAGAAACAAATAAGAGGTGTTCGTTTATCACTTTCTTCCCAAGTTTTCTCCAAGTTTAAAATGACTGGTTCTGTATACTTCTCATGCAATGAATCTGCAATATACTTCCTAGCTTGAGAAAGTGTGCGATCTGGACACCAAGACCTAGAAAGAAACGTAACACATGAGTCTAAAGTAGAATATTTCAATTTATTTATATTTATTTCAAGGATTTAAATTCAATCTTGCTATACTAAACTATTCTGGTTTATATTAGTCATAATTGTTTCCTTTTTTTAAGGTGAACAACAGGAGAAACAGGCCAGAATGAGTTCATGTTTCCACCCTCAGCTGGTAGAACATAACTGTACCCTAAACAAGATAGACGAGACTTTGTAAGCCAATAATAAACCCATGGTTTATTATTTGCTTGTAGGAATGTATTTTGATACAAGCAGCAATTCAATCAACTACATTCTGATCCACCATTACAGTCAAACTGAACTAGAATCTAAAACAGAGTATTCTTAAGAGAGAACAACTTATGAAAACTTCTGAGAATCCTCACCTAATGAGCAGAAGTTTACGACAGGTATCAAGAGCATCACTGTATCCATCAGGGATAGTTTCTTCCTCTGGAGCATCCTTATCAAACCAATTTTTCCATCCCTTTTCATTACGGCAGATCTAAGTATAAACCAAAGAGAAAAGCCATGCTTTCTCTTTACCAGAAAACTTGAGACAGTTTAGGAAAGTTAGATTTTAGTGAAGCCTTATCTATTATTACATTTGGTAGAGTGTGCTTGACAACATAGAGAAATGTATTGCATTTATGGTCATTTGATGCCTGTTTCTTTGTAGAAATAACAAGAACAAATTGCATAATTTAAGATACAAAAATCCAAAATCTTATGATTAATGGCCATCTTAGTGTTATTTAAAATACATGATGTAATGCTGAGTCAATAATATATAGAATGAAACTAGTATAAGTAATAATCCCACCTGATTCATAATTTCTGAGAATTGTGGTAGTTTACTCAGTTCCACCAGATTTAGCCATGTCATATCAAGAATCCATCGGAATGGTTTAGGAGGACAAGCTTTCAGATCAAGTGCAGCACCACCTGGATGAAACCATGAGTATTATTTACAGAAGCATGATGCTTAATATAATATCTGAATTTCAGAATATTGGATAAAAATACAGGTATTTTTAGGTTTTCTACAGGTTCCTTATTGCAATTGTGTTGTATGGGTTTTGAGAAATGTGTATCAATGCATTCTAGTTACTGGCAAGTGAGTTTCATTCAGGCAAATGAAGTGGAATAGAAATGTTGAAGCTTACATGGCACAACTGGAATCTTCAGTTCAGAGAACATTATGTTAAACTCAATGTTTAGATAAGGTTCTGGAAGATATGGTCACATTCCAGCTCCAGAGGTTTCTGTATGTGATGGATTATCTAGATCAGTGGTTCCCAACCTTTTTTTAAAATCAGGGACCACTTGACTGAGGACCATTTTGACCACTTTCACCAGGGACTACCTGACCAGGAGCCACTCTCGAACATTAGTACCAAAAGGGTTACAAATCAGCATTTGGTCAACTTTAGATTTGGTTTGGGGTGCTGCTTCAGAAAAGTGCTTTGTATAGACCACAGCAGTTCTAGTTTCTGATACAGAACATGTGCCATGGTCAGTGACAGGGAAGGAGTGGCAGGTGGCACAGAAGAAGTGGAAATAAAATAAAAGGAAATAAATAAAGAGGAAGCAGGCTCACGGACCAGATTTTCATCCTTGTGGCCCACTCATGGTTCATGGCCCACAAGTTAAGAACTACTGATCTAGATCCATTTCAATCTAGTTTTAGTCCTGGTTATGGGACAGAGATGGCATTGGTTGCCTTGGTGGATGACCTATGCTGGAATCTAGATGGGGAGTGTATCTTGGCTGGTGTTCCGCTGGATCTTCCAGAGGCTTTTGATAACATTGACTATATGGTATCCTTCTGGGTAACCTTCCTGTGATGGAACTTGAGGGCACTGGATTCCTTTCTTCCTGGAGAGGGTGAACCCAGAAAGTATTTTTTTTTATCATGCATACTATATAACACTGTTTGTCTATTAGTGCTTGTTTTTACAGCATTGTCGTCCTGGCTAAGCATACAGTTAGAATGCTATTATGCCAACATTAACCTTGGTATAACAATCACCTAGTATGCCAGAAACACTGGAACACTTTGCCAGTAAATCTTTTCAAAACACCTAATTGGAAGAATATTATAATCATTAAAACAACAATAATATTTCCCTATCACATCACACTGACAGCCTTTTGTGTTGTATTTTCTTAAAATTTGAAAGTGCATAGGATAAATGTCTAAGCTTCTGCCATTATCTTCCATATCAATAATACAAAATTGCTTTTTGGGTTTTTTTGCTGTTATTATTGCTTCAGTACATATTGTTTTCTGTAAACCTTTAATTGTCCTCCTTTCATATCCTTATTCTTGATTGTCCAATAAATTCATTGTCCTTGCATTTATAAGGACAAGTTATTCTACCTATTTGTCTCATAAAGACACTTTCTTTTATTAATAGCATTCTTTTAAACAGTGTTTTTTCCATGACTAACACAAAACAGGAGCCAAGGCAAACTCTTGTAGTGTCACAGGCAATATTATATCAGCATTATTGCCTTTGTCAATATTTAACACTCATATAAAGCTTTTAGGCATTAGACAATGAATTGAACAGAAGTCCTTCCTAAGTGTAAGAACATAGTTTCCATATCTTCCTCAAAGAATGTGTCAACCACATTTTAGTTATCTGATCACAAGACTTCCTATCTGGGGTTTTTTTCAAGATGTAATTCAAGCAAATCATGAGTATGATGCTGCTGATGATTATTATTATTAGTTATATCCCGCTTTCTCTCTCCCAAAAGAAACTCAGTGGCTAAGCTTTGATGTTACTAGTACTATGATTAATTTAAATGTGGAAGCAGAAGCTTTAATCTCTGCCCTGAGAATCAAAAGAGAGGAAGGCTGCCATGATGTATTTTCATGTCCCAACAATGGAAGCTGGATATGAAGTATGTGTTCAGACCAAGGAATAATGATGGGAACTGCATGTCAGCAGTAGACATGTGATCCCCAGTCACGACAATTCATGGAATGGTCATATGGGAGGAAGGATCAGAGGGAGGGAAGGAGGAAACAGTGGGAAAGGGATGGACATAAGTAGGGGATAAGAACAGTATTTATGATTGTAAACAATAAGCGACACTGGAAGAGGGCGAATATATATGGATTTTTTTCTCCTTCTTCGCTAATTTGGATATATATATATATATAGAGAGAGAGAGAGAGAGAGAGAGAGAGAGGGAGAGGGAGATACACCAATTTTGTTATCTTCTAAATTTTCTTGTGAGGAAATGTTATACTCTACTTGTATGATCCAAATTAAAATAAATAAATAAATAAATAAAGAATTGTCATATATTTGCATACACAAAATATGTACTCTCCCAGACGTCCCAAGACATTGTTGCAAGGTGACAGAATGTTATACATGAGCTTTTGAAAAAATCATAGCTTCTAAGATGGCAGCTTTTCATATTTAGTATAATAGTGCAACATATAGTCATTTTAACTGCTTTTAATTTGACTTTTAGTTTAATAGCAGTTTTATTTTTGTATCGTATTAATCTTAAATCTGTATCACTTTTTATCTGATAGAGAACCTAATTGGCAAAGTTAGCCAAGGTCAAATGAACCAAGACCAAACCAACTTAAACTATCTTCAATTCCAACCCTTCTAGACTTGTCGATGTTAGAAAGTACTTAGAATTATCTTCCCTCCAGCCTAATTTTTTTCCAGCATTGTGATTTATTGCCTAGCTATAGTAGGTTTGGATCTGGTATATTTCAGGCCCTTTTCTGTCCCATCCTTTCCCGTGTCATTTGTTCTGCTGACATATTTTAAGACAGTGGATTGCTCTTTTATGATATCTCTAAGATAACACAGTGAATCTTTTTCTACTGCCAACAGAGGCTTGTAACTAATCCCAATGCATATGGACATTATATTTTTGAATTATTATTGCACTGTTACAGTAATGTCTTAACTGGAGGAGATGATATAGTTAAGGATGTGCTGCACTGAAACCCAGTTTAGAGTTAACTTGTTCCTATCCCAACTTCATGCTAACATTATGGTCCATTACCATGCTAGGTCTTCAACTGGCCACTAAATCATTCTGCCAGAAGATTGGCAGATATTTAAGATTGCTGGTATGAAAGAGGCAGATGCCTGATTCTAACTCCTTGCAGATCTTGGAGATAGGATTTTAAAAATCTATTAAGCTGCTTTTTTTATGTTTTAACAAAAATAGTGATATAATTATAAATTATCACCATAAAGTGGTGCATAACATTGATTTAGATCAATGGTCCCCAACCTTTCTTTGACCAGGGATCACTTGACCAGGGACCACTTTGACCAGGAATCACTTTGTCCAGGGACCACTTCCCACCATTAGTACCAAAAGGGTTACAAATCAGTTTTTGGTCAAATTTAGATTTGGCTTGATTATTTGAGGTGCTGATTCAGAAAACTGCATTTGCTAGACCACATCAGTTCTAGTTTCTGATACAGAACATACGCCATCCAGTAGTCACCATCTGCTCTCCCATAGAAAACAATATTTAATAAACCTCAGCACTATAAGAGGGGTTCGCAAGACCAGTCGCTCTCATTGCAACAGTGTAGGCCATGGACCACATTTTAGTTCTTGCAGACTACTGGTGGTCCATGGACCACAGGTAGGGAATCACTGATATAAGGGATCAAATCTCTGATGATTTGTCTAATAGCATGAAACAGTTGCCTGCTCTTTGCCTAATTCATACAACTCTTTTCATGAAGATAATATGAAAAATGTACAGCCCACTACAGGTCTCTGCAACAAGGTAGGATGAATGTAGAGCAAAATTATTACCTTTAATAAGTGCTTGGAATTCTTTTGGCTTAACTTGGCCCCTCTGAAGATCAATTTTTAATGTCAGAAGCAGTGTAAACAGGAATTTATGGTTTTCATATAGACCTCTGACAGAATATGCAAATGTTTCATACGTCAAAAAATCTATAATATTTGATATCCTTTTCTGTGGGATCGGGGACCTTTCAGACCTTTGATATAAACACAAAGCAAGGAAATAAATGAATATCTCACTTGGAAAGTATGCAGAAAGGCAGGCTCTAAAGAAATAGCAGTTTTCCTACCTAGCCATGGACTGATCAAACAACTTTAAGAACTGAGCTAATGATGTTTGATACATGATATTGACCATGCTCATTTCTGTGATAAGGAAATACAGAATGCTTCCACGTGTTGCAGCTGGACGGTATTCCTCTTGAGCAGTGTTAATTTTCTTCTCAGTTTCTCCTGCAACTTCCAGTTTTTCTGACACTTCCATAGCTGTTTGTTTGGTAGTTCTCAAGACACCAATCAATGATTCATCATCCACCAAAGAACCTAAGGGATATAGAAGAAATATTTCATAAAGAAGCCTTAGAATTGTAATGTTCAAAATCTAGCTTGAGATAGCTTCTCAGTGTATCTATGGTAAAGAACTTGGATTGACTTCATAAAGTCCAAGTTTCAAATCCTGGCTTCTTTCATTAAATGATACCAGGAAGATCTCTCAGAAGGTTCTACACATGGGACCTTGGAAAGATATTTCAAGTTCACTGAGATAATAATACTAGGCATGAAAAAATGAGCTGACCAGGCAAAGTTTGTAAGTTAATGTTCCACTCTCTATCCACCAGGAAATTGGAGGCCAATCTGCCTCAAGAGCAAACTATTTCATTTTGAAACTCCCCCTCTATATTTATCATCTAGTCACCTTGAACACCCAGTATATCACATTGGTGTGGACAGAAAGGACATATGCATATGTATTGGGATACTTGAAAGTTCTAGTGATTTAGCCCTGCATCTCCCTATAGGACATAGCTATGTGAAAAATCTTTTGTCTTTAGAATATACAACTTAAAATTATATGCATAGGTTCACATTGCATAACCCACTATATAAAAGCAACCTAAATATCCCTGCCTATAGAAACTAAAAAAATAATACTTCATATCTAATTTTATATGAGAAAAGTATTTTTAAAAAATCTCTTTTACCTTGGTGTGAGCCTTTATTTGCAAGCTACAGGTTAGCGCTAGACCTTTTAATAAATGTATAATCAAGAATTCATGTGTTCATATCCTTGATAAGGTGAAAAATGTCAACTTCAACTTCAATAAATAAAAAATAAATAAAACAACAACACAACACCTTTTGTTGCAGTTAATTTATAAAGGAGATTGTCTTCTAGTTCCTTCATCTTCCGTTTATTGTAAGTTACATCTTCCATGAGTTTAATCCTCTCCGCTTCCAATTCCTACATTAAAAAGCAAGATAGGAATAAAGATGAGTTGACTATCTATAGTTAGCATGACATTATTTCTGGGAAGGATGGCCCCAACTGGAAAGGGTACTCTTCCAATGATCAAGAAATCAGAGTTGTGCAAAGTTTTCCCTTCTAGCTGTAGAAGAAGGAAAGATAAATTGCTGACATCTGCAGCACAGCCCATGGCAAAATCGACAATGGCTCAAGAACAAAATAGATAACAAAATTGTGTACAAGACAAGAAGCAGCACAGGAAGGACAAACTGAGGCATCCATATATATAAGTTCTATTTTTTTTGTCGTGTCAGGAGCGACTTGAGAAACTGCAAGTCGCTTCTGGTGTGAGAGAATTAGCATATGAATCCACAGTTCCTATCATGGGGAGGTGAGGATATGATGAGAAAGAGAGAGAAGGGGAGAAGCAAGAGAGAGAGGAGAGAGGACCAGGCAGAACAGTAGAGTCACTTTCCCACAACTAGGAAGAACTTCATAATTAGTCTTAATTTCCATTGTTGGTCACCGTGAGAGTGAAAGTATAAAGAAAGGAGTTTAAAAGACCAGCATCCACATGCATTTCATGGTAAATTGGTATGTATGACATACAGCATGTTGCAGCAGCCTGCAGATAATAAATGTTTCAGTCATATCGGTCCTATGATTAGGGATAAAATTAGAGGTAGTGGACCCCATGGCTGCCTTGCAGATATCTTCCAGAATGCCAATGAAGAGAATGTTGCAAAAGAAGCTGAACTCCTGACTGAGTGAGCTGCCAAAACAGAATGCTGTAAATAAGGACTATACTCTATGGTCTATTTATTTATTTATCGTGTCAGGAGCAACCAGACAGTTGTATTACTTTTTTAACAAAACAAACAGACAAAACACAAAGTTTGCAAGCTTGGTAGTTGATTAAATGTCCTTTGACCAGTATCTGGCCACTTGGAGTGCCTCTGGTGTTGCCGCAAGAAAGTCCTCCATTGTGCATGTAGCAGGGCTCAGGTTGCATTGCAGTAGATGGTCAGTAGTTTGCTCTTCTTCACACTCGCATGTCGTGGATTCCACTTTGTAGCCCCATTTCTTAAGATTGGCTCTGCATCTATAGTCTATGAAAAAACAGGATAGCTTGGAGAAGACAATGATGCTGGGGAAAATAGAAGGAAAAAGGAAGAGGGACCAACCAAGGGCAAGATGGATGAATGGTATCCTTGAAGTGACTTATCGAGCTGGGGGTGGCAACAGCCAACAAGGGAGCCCTGGCATGGGCTGGTTCATGAGGTCATGAAGAGTCAGAAATGACTGAAAGAGTGAACAACAAAGATCTCTGGCCACTAGTGTTCTACGATATCCACTACACCTGGCCTTCTGACTTGTAGATTACAAATACCATAGGTTGACAGATCTGCACAAGTTAGTCATCAATACAATACACACTTTACATGTTCTGTTTATACCCATCTGGTGCCACTATCTCTTCCTCAGATGACAAAAAATTGGGAGGACAATATTCTAACTGCAGTGCACATGGAAGGGATTAATCAAATCCACGCATCTCTCTCACTGATAGGACCTGGAGTCCATCCCTCCTCCTATGTCCATATCACCAACACCCACAAAGGTCAAAATCTTGATTGGGATGGAGTGGAGGAACTCAAAGGCCAGACATGTCAATATTTCAAGCAGCTTGTTCAGATCACAGGAAGGTAAATTGAACATTAGTAGGGGGTGGGATTTTTCCCCCAATAACTATACCTGAGAAATATTGGTCACTGGCCTTCAAATGGTATCCCTTTGATAACATGTAAGTTAAATAAACAAGCAACAAAACAGGAGCATTCAATTTCCTGATAGAATTGCAGATTATAGATAACCATTCATTAATTTTATCTCTGATCCAGAAGTCATAGAAGTCATTGTATTTTCTTCCTTTTAAAAATAATTTCAGAACCACAATAACTGTCTTTATTTCAGAATCAGTTTCTGAACTTCAATCACACATTATTTTTTCATAATTTTGTTTGTACACCATTCACTGTTATTTGTTAACTTACCTGTTTCTCTGTGAGTATTACTCTCTTCAATAACTGGTTTTCAAGCCCTTTCATAGTAACAGTAAAATCAATTACTGATGATTTAGCATTGATCTCAGGAGTGAAGGCAGGATTGGGCAATTTTGTAGTAATGTAAAGTTTAAATGTATTCATGATATCTACTTCTTTGTCACCAACCTTCACCTAAATAACAGTTCAAACCACATTTTAATAAATTGAAATCGACATTGTAAATTCTTGAAAGATTATCAGTAAGAATGTCTGCATGCTTTATATTTTATATCACAATTATTAATGCAGTGTTACATTTTATAAATTGATTTGGGTACAACAAATAACTCTTGGGTTTCTACATGGTTGCCAAATCTTGATTCTCTCCCCTTGTTTCTGATTAAATAACTTCTGAAAGGTGTGTACACTGCTGGGTTTCTCTCCTGCAATTTTTCATCAGAGAGTACTATGACAATTATGTAAATCAAAGGAAAGTTCACGATATATATTGCTTGCCTATGGTATATTTCATACATTCTATCATTGACCCCATTTTTCATGGTGCCTCTATCGGTTCCAGTGTATAAATCCAGCTCTAGTGTGTAGTACATTTCCGTGCTTCTGCCATACATTTAGTACATGCTTGTAATGGATGCAATCCAGCCTCAAGTTAAATGAGAAATAGATTAAGGGCAGGGGATGAGACTTCTGCAACATTTCATGTCTGCGTTTTTTCTCCATGAGATTAATATTTTCTTATTGAACTTGCTATCCAGGTTTATAGGAAGAGTGAACTCCATAATGTGTAGTAGGCCTGGGCGGTTTCGTTCGTTAATTTTGTAATTCGTTAAATATTCGTTATTTTTAGCAATTACGAAATGAATACAAAACATTTTTTCAAACCCGGAAGGGTTTTTCAATAACGAAACGGCATCCTCCATCCTTTTTACGAGCTTCCGCCCGTTTCGGAAATGGGATGGAGGATGCTGGTGCCTGGGAACCAATCCGGTGCTCCCAAGCACCCAAGCAGTGCACCGTGGCTGATTTTGATTGGCCGGGAAGCCCTTTAAAAGCGGCTCTGCGTGGCCTCTTTGCTCATTGTTGCGGAGGCGAGGGAGAAGGGAGGTCCGGGAGGGCGGCTTGCATTGGCTTGCATTGGCTTGCATTGGCTTGCATTGGCTTGCATTGGCTTGCATTGGCTGGCTAAGCTGGATTTCCTTGCATTGATTCCTTAATTCCTTAATTCTGTTAAGGAGGGCGGTTTTTGTTAATTTGTTAATTTTCCATTTTTAAATATTTTTGAAAAATACCTTTCTTTTATTCTTAAAAAAAATCAAAAAATATTCTAAAAAAAGAAAAGAATCTTGTGTGCCTGACTGCCTGTGTGTGCGTTTGTCATTTGTGTAGTTCCAACCAGTGCGCTCCTTTTGCCAACAGAAAGTGCTATAATACAGTGCTCGCTCATTATTTGTGTAGTTCCAACCAGTGCGCTCCTTTTGCCAACACAAAGTGCTATATAATACAGTGCTCGCTCATTATTTGTGTTGTTCCAACCAGTGCGCTCCTTTTGCCAACACAAAGTGCTATATATAATATACTACAGTGCAATTAGCACGAATAACGAAATTTCGTAAATGCTTTGCGCATGCCCTAACGCGGTGCGCCATCTTAACGAATCGATTCGTTATTAGCGATGCATACAAATAACGAAATTTCGTAAATGTTTTGCGCATGCGCCAACGCAGGCGCCATATTAACGAATCGATTCGTAAATATTTACAAAATTTCGTAAATACCGAACTTTTTTAAGGGAAAATTTTGTAATTATTTTAAATATCGAAACAAAAAAAACCCCCAATTACAAATCGATTTTAGAGACAAATTTTTCCGTTGTTACCCAGGCCTAATGTGTAGCCTTCTATTCCTCCTAAAATACTTCCTTTCCTCAAGAAAACAAATACTAACACTGCCCTTTTTGAGCAAGCTTTCCACAGAATAAGCACTCATCTGGAATCCTGAGATGGGAGGTAAGTAGCCAGAGAAGACACTTTGAGCAGATGAAGGGTCACAGATAAAGGGTGTCTATGACCCTCTCTTCCCCAATTGTTCATTTCAGCAGAGAGCCCATAAATGATTAAATAGTTTGGTGATGCAATAGAGAGCACTGCCTGAGAATTCCAAAGACCCCTCCCTACGTTGCAGATCTCCGGGATTCAATAGGATGGAGCCATCTCAGTTTGAATGGAATTACAGCATTATAGTAGTTTGTTAGGAAGGATCCTTTAAAAGCTTGTTATACAGGCAAAGTGAAATGGCCCCTTATTAGCTCTATTTTATGTTAATACATTTATTAATTAATTAACTGTATTTATACCCCATCTTCTCAACCCAAATGGGATTCAGACCGGCCTTACAAAAGGCAACAATCCAATGCCACATAAAACAGACATATAATAAACATATACATTAAAACATGAAATTAAAAAGCAGATAAACATTAATAAAGTGTGTGTGTGTGTGTGTGTGTGTGTGTGTGTGTGGAGGAGAGAGTTAGGAAGAGGCTAACTGTGGAATACACAAAGCCAGAGAAAGAAAATTCATCTTCCTAAGAATCACAAATAAAGCAAAAGAACAAAACATGTCAAGGAGAATCTGTCCATACTTCTGAATTGGAGAAGAAAGTGACCCCCATATTAAAGGAGGTGTTTCTTTGGTCTACTGGAGAATTTCTTTGAGATTGCCTGCTCAGTATAGAGAAGGGCAAAAATTTGCAAGGTTTTTAAACAACACTTAATTTAAAATGTATGTAGGTCATTTCATAAGGTAACCCACCTTGAAAGAAGTTCCTGATTTAATGAAGTTCTTCTCTAATATATTATCAAGGGCAGGATCTAATTCTTCACTTATATCCTCAATTAAAAGTGGTCTTCCCAGAGAGAGAGAATCTTCTAGGTGAGTGCGAAAATATTTATGATTCAGAGTTGTCACCTTATAAAGAGAAAGAATTCATTATAAAAGAAAGATAGGGTAGTTTTTCTCACTTTGAAAGTTCTAAGGCTACCATTGTACATACACTTAAGTAGAAACAAATCTCAATGAGCAATAAACTCAGTGTGAATTTACTTTTAGGCAGATATAAATTAGTTTGTACGGTGCATAACATAATGATTAAAAAGGTCTCACTTATGTTATTTAAACATTTCAATAAAATCATTTTATCATTTTAATAGCTGCTAGACAAAAACATGAATGTGTGCACTATCATTTAAAAAAATCATTTTGTATTCAGAAAAGCAAAAATAAGAATAAACAAGAATAATATAACATACAAACAAATTTCAAAGGTCATATGTTTTAAATACTACACATCTACATTTAACATACAAAAATTACAAACACAAGTGCCTCCCTACCTATTAAAATATGGATTGTAAAGTTAAAAATTGAATAAATGAATAAACGCACGTGCACAAATCACAAATCAGTCGATATCTTTCTACGCAAAAACGTAATTTCTTACCAAGGAGAACTTTTGTAAATATTTTTACATCCCTATTGTAAAATATTTATCTTTTGATGTTTAACTTCACAACAGTTATCTGATGCAGACCACTATTATTTCCTATCTGAAACTAAGGCCAGTCAAATCTAGCGTCTACATCCATAACTGACACCATTAGACGGCAAATTCCAAGAAGGTTTAATGTTCCTGTTTTCTGTGTTTTCTGCAGGAAATATAACAGTTTCTTAAAAGGTCAATGATTGCTTTAACTTTATCTGAAAGTAATATTAGCATCAGAGGTCAAAAGAACCCATGTCTGGCCAAGAAAGAATGGGTGCCTTTCCAAAACAGATTACAATACTTGAGACATTTTTATGATCACATAGGATATTACTTTCATTTACTTTTAATTACGTTTCAAGGGAACAAATAGGCTCAGGGAGAAGGGACATTTCACACTTGAACGACTTACTTGTAAATCATTGTCCTTTTCTTTTTGCTTAATCCATGTTTTTCCTTGGGTCTGTGGATCTATTAAAAGTGGATATCTTGTGGCTTTAGTAACAATGATCCCATTTTGCACTGACAGTTCATCTCCTGGGAGCCCTTGTAGGTTCCACTCACTAATCTGAAGATTAAGAAAAATTCAGTGGTTGCTTCAGTCTTGGAATACTGGTTTTCTCATGCATTACCATGCCATCAAGCTTAAGACAAAGAAAATCCTCTATCATCAGACTATTGTATATAGATCCATTTCCTCACTAGCTGCCATGATATGCTTAGTTTTTCTTATGGACAGATGTCATGAATGCATTCATATATCTGTGCAGAGATATCCACATGTCTAAGAATAATCTCCTTTAAAAACATACCCCAAAAGATACTGGCACACACATACTAGGAAAATGTACCAAGCTGGAAATAATAAATTCCATATTTTTTCCTAGTATATTTTTCCTAGCAATTGAAGCATTAGAAATGTACACGCAAATATGATATAACTATTGGTGAAGTTATGCGATTAAAGTTTTCCCTATGAACCATCCAGAAGTTTAAAATCATCTGGAGAGGGCCTGCTCTTGGTCTCGCCTTCTTTGCAGGCATAACTGGCAGGGATGAGGGACAGGGCCTTCTCAGTGGTGGCCCCAGCTGTGGAAGTCACTCCCTAGGGATATTAAATCCCCTCCCTCTTGATCTTCCACAAAAAAAAATTGAAAACATGGCTATTTGAACAAGCCTTCAGAATCTAGTGCAGCAGTCAAACACAGAAGTATGTGAAATGGAATATCAGAAGGGCTCAGATGATTTTGGGACAAAGAGGCTAACAATAAAGGCATTAGTTTTATATGTTTTGATTGTTTTATTTTATTATATGTACTTTAAATTTTGTTTAAATGTTGTTTAATAGGGCTGGGTAACCACGGAAAAATTTGTTTCTAAACTCGATTCGTTTTTTGGGGTTTTTTGCGTTTCGATATTTAAAAGAATTCCGAAATTTTTCTTTAAAAAAGTTCGATATTTACGAAATTTCGTAAAATTACGAAATGAATACGAAATGAATATGAAACGAATACGAATCGATTCGTTAATGGTGGACGCGACCGCGCAATACGCTAAAAAACCTCCATATGGGACAGGGGGAACTTCTGAAGCTTCCCTCTCCCTCTGTTGTTGACTGTTGGTGTGATATGTATAATTTTTTTTTCACTGATTAAACAAACAACAGCTATAAAACTTGCCCCAGACATGCGGAAATAATAACGAAACGATTTCGAAACGAATACGAAACGAATACGAAGCAATTACGAAACGAATTGAAAAATTCATTTCGTTTTTTAGATGCTCCTGAATGGTTCGTTATCGCTTCGTAACCAAAAAAATATCAATTTTTTAACGAATTACAAAATTACGAAACGAAACTGCCCAGCCCTATTGTTTAAGTGTATATTGTTAAAGCATTGAATGGCTGCCTGGTTGTAAGCCGCTTTGAGTTACCTTTGAGTTCGAGAAAGGCAGGATAGAAATATCGTAAATAAATAAATACATTGGAGACAGAGTTTACTGCATTGATTTAATGAATAAGTACTATTTTTCTAGTTATTTTAAAAGCTGCATTTGAAAGGACTACTTTAATTTTTTTAAGTGATCAATCAATATTATTTGTCCAAAATTGTAACAAATATAGAACTGAAGGATGATTAAGTATGAATACAAGGAGTAGCTTTTTAGAATGGGGTGCAGGTTTTTATTTTCATTTTTCTCTTTATTTATTGATGTCTTCCTGTGCTTTGAGGTCTTGCTAGAAATATTCTATTCTGTCTTTATGTATTTAATACATTTAATAAAAAAACTTCATTAATTTCAAAAGCAGATTGCTATTGCCAGGATTGCTTGTTATGAAAGTAAAAAGATGCCAAACCATTGCCATTTATTTAAATTACCATTGGAATGGCTCAATGTGTAGTGTAGATGGGTCCAAAGCTTTAAACTTTTCTACTTCACTGTCCCTTGACCACATGCCTGACAAAGCATCCTGAAGAACTCAAAAGTTCACTTTTCTAACAACATTATAGTGATTAAATTAGCATAATACCCAAACCTGCTTTTAGGTTTTGGAAAAGGACAATGACAAATATTATCTTGCATTTACCTTAGTTAAAAGGTAGCCAGGGACTTAATTTCCAGGTTTGATTGCTCAGGCCATCAGCAAATTGCTCACTGAGAAAATTTCATTAGGGGATGGAAAATAAATTAATCATAGGAAATATGCTTTTCCCTTAATATCTAGTTTGACTTTGCTTCCAGATTTCAGACATCTGCTCCTTTTTATCAGAACTGCTTTCATCCATCTACTCATCTACAGGAAATTTCTGCCAACATCACTATAATAGCGCATAATTTTTAGAGAGGCTCACCAAAACACATTCCAACAGTATCCACCTAACAGTGAAAAGAAATTTGCAAGCAAACAGTACCATTTCTATGAAACTCACTGCAACTAAATCTGTAAAATAGGATATAATTTTCCAAAAGACATTCTACCGTATGCAGAGTTGAATAGAAGGTGGTGTTGGGGGGGGGGGGTATTCATTTGCATGGATAGAAGTCTGCTTGCCTGACATTGGCTGTCTTCATATCTTCAAACAATTTAAACATGTAATTAAATTAAACTAATTTACATGCAAATGTAATTATCCAGAGAATAATTTGATTGTGTTGCACAATTAAACAATAAATGGAACTAAAACTCAGTGCTACAAACAATTAACAAAATATAGAACCTGTTGGCAGGATTATTTTAACTATATATGTGCTATTGTGATTTTTTATGCTTATATTGTCTTGTTAATTTTATGTTTATGTTGTTTACTTTGTATATATTGAGGATGTTACTTGGAAACCACTCTGAGTGTTGGGACTCAGCCTGTGTTTGAGCCTGAATCTGTGATTGTGTTTCCCCCTTCTAATGTTTCTGGGTCTGACTTGGGTGGTCAACCTGATGTGATCAATGAGGATGAGGTGCAAAATGGAGACACTTTGGACAATAAGGTTACTGCAGACTCTGATCGAGAAGGGTCAGGGGAAAGGCTAAGTTCTCATGAGAAAATTCCAGCCAGGGAAGAAAGTTTACTCCCTTCTCCAAGCTTGAGTTTGCAAGATAGTTTCACACCTGCTGTTGCTAATGAGGAGATAGATAAGACCAGTCGCCATCTGGAAATCAGCCAGGACCGTCCAGAGTCCCAATGTTTACGCAGGTCAGAAAGAATTTGGCAGTTAAGCCCAAAAACTGGGGGGAGTAGGAATCAGTTTTTGGGACTTAAATTGAGCTCTTAGGGAATTTTCTTAAGACCAGGCATCATTTGGAATCTTGCTCAAGTCTCCTGGATATTCCTGTCTCATGTGGCCTCGTCTCTAAGGATTCATGGTTTTTCAAGTGGATTAGCAGTGGTTCATGGTTTTATTCTAAGGGCTTTTTGGCTATTCATTGCATTTGGATTATTTCTGCAAGCTTTGGTACATTGTTATTATTCCTCTGTTTGGACACTGCTTATGTTGCTGCTTTATTGGGCTTTTTGCTTTTGGACTTCTACTTATTTTTATAATCATCTATTTTATTGGCTCCAGTTAGTCTACAAATAAAAAGGACTCTTCCTTCATTCAAGGTGTGGTGTCATTAATGATTAGAGGATCCTGTTCCTGTTCCAAGATGCAACACTGAGTCTCCTTGGGGAGACAGAGGGGTATATAAATAAAGTTTTGTTTTTATTTGTTTGTTGTTGTTGCTGCTGCTGTCTGCCTTGAAATCATTTCTGAATGATGGTGCCCTTATCACAGGGTTTCCTTTTCAGAGGGAGTATGTTATTGCCTTCCTCCTAGGCAAAAAGAGTGTGACTTGCCCAAAATCACCACCACCACCCCGAAGTATTAGCCCAACACCCAAACCACTACACAATTCTAAGCCCCACCTACCGTAGGAGGATCCACTAACATTGAAATGAGATTCAAATTTTCTGTAAAAGGGATTTTTCGTATTTTCATCTCTGTCTCCCATAAATCTTTAAGCAAAAGATTTCTGAATATCTGATTAAAGGGCCCACAGTACGAAAGGAAGCCTGTGCAGAGTAAAACATCTCCCACGAGTCTAGAAAAAAAAGAAATCATTCATTAACAAAGTCCCAGTTCTCTTTAAAAAGTAAAGATTGAGGTGGTACAGAAAAGTTCCAGGAACACATCGACATTTAGAGACAGGAAATTGAGTTTGACATTTGTTTTACTTCATATTTTTAAAGTAAGTATATGATTATATCAAAAGACACATAGAATATTGAAGTTAACAAGACTTCTTTTATAAGCTGATTAGGAGAAACGCACAACATAGGCTAGAACATATCTATGGCTTTTATAATTTTTGGTATATGCAGCAATGCTGTTCTTTGAGAAAGGAATGAAGAGTTGCAATGGAGATAATTTATCAGGTTCTATTTTTGATCACATATGCCATTTAGTTTTGCCAGGTTTTTGAACAGAAATAAGGAAAAGTAAACATTCACGACTTGGCGGGTTAACAATCAGGAAATAGCTATTAACAAATTTGAGTTCTATCTACATACAAAATGAAAATATCAATTTCAGTTAGCCTAGTATGTGTTTTTCTGTAAAATTAACACATTGTTCAGATTCATTAATTATACGATACACATATTTCTGTCTTTATGAAGTGCTCGTACCCAATCAGGCAAGATTTTGGGCTACTTCTTATTCAGGCTATAAGAAAGGAAAGGTTTCCCAAATCTAAATATTAGATATCACTTATAATAAGAGACATCGTAGAAGGGACAAGTATTCTGGTTCTTATTTAAGGGACATATTTTACAAAAAGAGACAGCTGACAGTTCTGAAAAATAAAAACGATGAGCCAACAATGTGATGTGGTGGCAAAAAAAGCCAATGGGATTTTGGCCTGCATCAATAGGAGCATAGTGTCTAGATCTAGGGAAGTAATGCTACCCCTCTATTCCGCGTTGGTTAGACCACACCTGGAATATTGTGTCCAATTCTGGGCACCACAATTGAAGAGAGATATTGAGAAGCTGGAATGTGTCCAGAGGAGGGCAACTAAAATAATCAAGGGTCTGGAGAACAAGCCCTATGAGGAGCAGCTTAAAGAGCTGGGCATGTTTAGCCTGAAGAAGAGAAGGCTGAGAGGGGATATGAGAGGAAGTCACAGGGAGGAGGGAGCAAGCTTGTTTTCTGCTTCCCTGGAGACTAGGACGCAGAACAATGGCTTCAAACTACAAGAAAGGAGATTCCATCTGGATATGAGGAAGAATTTCCTGACTGTGAAAGCCGTTCAGCAGTGGAACTCTCTGCCCCAGAGTGTGGTGGAGGCTCCTTCTTTGGAAGCTTTTAAACAGAGGCTGGATGGCCATCTGTCAGGGGTACTTTGAATGCAATATTCCTGCTTCTTGCCAAGGGATTGGACTGGATGGCCCATGAGGTCTCTTCCAACTCTATGATTCTATGATTCTAATTTGCTAAAAGAAAATACCCATATTTATTTGGTGCTTTTTTATTATCGAGGCATTGAATGTTTGCCTTTTTGCCTGGAATCCACCCTGAGTCCCCCTGGGGAGATAGGCCGGCCTATAAATAAAATTATTATTATTATTATTATTATTATTATTATTATTATTATTATATCCATTTTACTGTACAGCTGCTAAAATTAAACTCTTCATATTAATTTTGGTGAATGACCAACTTTAATGCCAAAAGATAACCAACTTCCATTCATTTTCTTCATGTTTAGAACAAATTCACTTCTTTTCTTTCTCATGTACCATACCTATTTATCTGCGATCGAAATTCTTTACTTTGCTGGGTCCATCGAATTTTCTCTCCACTCAAACCATCTATAAGTGCAGAGGCTGCCTGCATCTTATTCCTACATGCTTCTGCATCATTCAAGAGATCCTGAAATTTTGAAGTGACACATCACATTACACTTTTCAAATGACCATCCTGATATCTAACTATTTTAAAACAAACTATAAACAGGCATCTCTAAATTAGGTATACAAAAGATCATTTGTGGTCTAAATGTTAAATACACAATATTTCGTGTACTTCTACCCCACCCTTCTCAACCCCCGAGGGGGGGACTCAGGGCGGCTTACAAAAGGCACAATTCGATGCCTGCACAATAATACAATAAACCTATATAGACAGCAATTAAAACAGTTATAACAGTTAAAACAATCAATATATATCACAGTCAATAAAACCAATCTCATGCTCAGAGTCCATAACTTCATTCCACATTGTCCATTCTTATCAGTCGTCGTTGTCCTTTAGTTATCTGCCAGATTACCCAAAAGCCTGGTCCCAAATCCATGTTTTTAATTTCCTTCTAAAAGAGAGGAGGGATGTCGATGATCTAATTTCCCTGGGGAGTGAATTCCACAGGTGAGGGGCCACCACCGAGAAGGCCCTGCTCCTCGTCCCCACATCTCACTTGTGATAGAGGCGGGGCCGAGAGCAGGGCCTCCCCAGAAGATCTTAAACTCCGAGGGGGGACGTAGAGGGAGATGCATTCGGACAGATACGCTGGGCCGGAACCGTATAGGGTTTTGTAGGTCAAAACCAGCACTTTGAATTGTGCTCGGAACTGGATTGGCAGCCAGTGGAGCTGACATAACAGAGGGGTGGTATGCTCCCTGTATGACGCTCCAGTGAGTAATCTGGCTGCCGCCCGCTGGACTAATTGAAGTTTCCGAACAGTCTTCAAAGGCAACCCCACGTAGAGCACGTTGCAGTAATCTATTCTAATATGGCAGCATTATCAATAGTTTGATGACTCCAAAGACTATAAATGAACCTTGAAACCTTAGTGATCGAGCACCAGATCTCATCATGTATCAAATAAATCTTTTAGGTCAAGAAACTTAGCATCAGTCATTACCCTATACTCGATTGGCTTTAGTGTAAACAAACAATATTACCATCAGATGAAAACAAGAAACAGAATTTGGCATAAAGTGATGTACCAGTGCCATTTCATCATTACATTTTCTTTGTGCTGTAATAAAACCATTGAAAACTGCAGTTTTCGTAGACTACTTGCAGTTTAGGACTTCTGTGTAAACAAAAGGCACAGTTTCCTATACATCTTTTGAATAGAAAACAGTATTTCTGTGAAGAAAATAAAATTCTTGAACTGGAAATATCATATATTATTTCCTATCCACTGTAAGTCCCAAGCTGTGAAGATTCTTGGCCATTGTCATAGTTTCCCAACATTTATGAAACTCAAATATTTTTCAATATTAATTCCATCCCAATAAAATGACAGGTGCCTTCTTTTTCTTCAGTGACCCTTTAAGCATTCCTGCCATTGCAAGTGTCCTCTGGCATTCATAATGTGAGGACCTCCAGCCTTACTTTTCAACTTGAAGCTGGAGAGAGATTGCAGTCATTTCTGCAGTTGTATCATGTGCAGTGAAACTATAGCACAAAACTCTTGTTCTACTGTCAAAGTCAAAAATTAGGAGAAAAACTGCCAGTTTCTGTTTTGGCACTTCTCTCACACAGACAGTATGTCCAAGTGCCTTCGCTGTCCAGCATCAAAATAAATCTCTTGCCTAGAAACCAAATACATTTGGAGCAAGGATTGTATCTGATCTTGAGTGGTGCTAGAGAATGAGTTCACATTAGTGAGTATAGTTTTGGGCTTGACTAACACAGTCAGTAAAAACAAATATGAGCATGGGGAAAATGTTGGCATGTGTAGGGATCAAGAAGAGATGGAAACTTAGCAAGCATCTCCTCAGAAGTGGCAAGACAGAATGGTTAAAGTCTGCTAATTTGCCAG